ACACACACACACACACACACACACACACACACACACACACACACACACACAGAGCTTCACCTCCACCCCCATCCCCGCCCCCTCCCGCTCTCTACAGTTTAAGAAGAAGAGGAATGTGACAGAAGTCTCAGAAGTTCAGACTCAAAGACCGAAAACAAAACGTACCGACCACTCCGACAACCATCTCTTGCAACGTTCTGGGGGGTGAGTGATGTTGATCTGCCCGAAGATATCGTGGGTCCCCCCCCTCCGCGCCTCTACGCCTCTACCGCCGCATGAGCAACATCCAGAGTACTTCGTGGATTACCTTCCCACATCCCCGCTCTCGCTGCCGGCTACAACCCCTCACTCACCGCTCGCAGACCTGCAGGTCCCGCAACTTAAAGCAGACGCGGACCAGTCTCAGACTGCATGCCCCAATCCGGTACGTGAGGACATTGTCAGATGGCTCCGCTCAAACCCTGACCTACCGTTGGACACTGACGATTCAGAACCAACACCCAAACTGTCACTGGGGATTGCTGACCCTCAAGCGGACCCCGGACAGCACTCTGAGGACCTGTTTGTGGAGCCCGGAGTGGCCTCTGAGCCTCAAAAGGCCTCACTTCCTCCTCCTCCGCAGGAACCATCAACCAGCCCCGGGTCCAGTGGCGACTGGTTGGATTCCGAGGTGATTCAAACTGTGAAGATGGCCATCCTTCACCTGCTCAACATGACTCTGGATTCTTACGTCCAGGAAATATATAACGGGTGTATCATAAACCATCCAAGTCAGTTACAACATCTTTGCATGATGGTGCGGGACGAGGACACATTTTTCAGAGCGCATTATGATGAAATCTTGAAGAGGGTCATGAAGGCCCAGTTTGTCTCCACCGTCCAGCTGATTCTATGAGCCCGTGGGTTGCTTGTGGATGACTACGCAATAAAAGTCATCACACAGACTTTATTATTTCAACTCAGATTTGAGCGGAATGTGTTTGAAATGATCTACATTATGTACTGTATGAATCAATGCCGGAGTCTGAGGTGAAAAGTCTGGAACCTTTCACAAACTTTTACAAAACTGTACAATAAGCTTATGTTTTCAGTTTTTTACTGAGTGATTTGAAATAGTAGTTTTTACAGCGTGATTAGAAACTGTAAATAGTTTTTCCCCAGCTCTACCTCCTACACTGATTTTCATTTATATTAAAAAAAAGTTTAATTTGTTATTTTTTTTCTTGACCAGATGATTGTATTTTTCATTTGTAATTAAAAATTATAATGATTTTCTTTTCTCTAAATCAAAACTGATTGTATTTGTTAAATTTGTAATGAAGTTATAACAGAAAAGTTATAACGAAAAAAGTGTTAAAAAAGTATTGCAATATCTACCTCCTAGTTTTTTCAAAATGTGAATGTATTTTCAAAGTAAAAAAAAAGTTTACATTTTTTCTCTCAATCAAGTGAATAGTTTTTTTTTAATTTAATAAAAATTGTAACAAAAAGCTTACAGCGTTGTTGTTGTTGTTTTCTCTCTTGATCATTTGAATGAATATTTAAAGWTGTTAAAAAATAGTCTACGTGTCTTATCAGAAATATAAAAGATCTATGTTAGTTTTTGAACTCGTCATTTTTCCCAGACTCATTCGGGGTAGGATGGAAGAACAAAACAATTCTAAAACAAATTTATTACTCACCAAACAATCCTGGCAGTTATGGAGGTGTGGAGAGATTAAAATCAGCTGCGAGAGATCAAACGGGTTTGGATATAAACTCAGATAAAATCAAAACATTTTTAAGTGGTCAAGATGCATACACTCTGCATAAACCAGCCAGGATACATTTTCCTAGGAATAAAGTGTTTGTCTCTGCCCCTCTAAAACAATTTCAGGCTGATTTATGTGATATGAACAGTCTTTCTGATTTTAATGATGGATACAAATTTTTATTAACTGTGATAGATGTATTTTCAAAGCGTGCTTACGCAAGAGTTCTAAAAAACAAGACAGCTGCTCAAGTTACGAATGCAATGGAATCTGTTTTTACGGAGAGCGGGGTGCCCAGAAAACKTCAAACTGACGCAGGAACGGAATTTTTTAATAAGAAATTTCAGAGTTTAATGGACAAGCACAAGGTGGTGCATTTCTACATGTTCAGCGACGTCAAGGCCTCTGTTGTGGAACATTTTAACAGAACGTTGAAAACAAGGATGTGGAAATTCTTTACAGCTGAAAACACCCTCTGTTATGTGGACGCGCTGCAGGACTTTGTAAGAAGCTACAACGAGTCTTTTCATTCTAGCATTAAGATGCACCCTGTAGATGTATCTCCCAAAACACACAGCAGGTTTTACACAATTTGTACGGAGCTGTTAAACGAGTTAAACGCAAATTTAATCTCAAGAAAGGTGATCACGTTAGAATCTCTAAACTACGGGGTGTTTTTGATAAGAAATACCAGCAAAATTTCACGGATGAAATATTTACAATCTCAGAATGCCTTTACCGAAATCCAGCTGTTTACAAGATTATGGACTTTGATGGTGAAAAGACAAAGGACTCTTTCTAAGAGCAGGAATTACAAAAAATCAAAATCGATGAGGAAAGAGTGTACCAGGTCGATAAAGTGTTGAAAAAACACACGTTCAGAGGTGAACGACATGTTCTAGTTAGCTGGAAAAATTGGCCAGACGAGTTTAATTCATGGATTAAAGCCAGCGATCTACAGCACGTATAAAAAAACTACGTAGGTCCAATTCACAGACACCAGTACGCCAACCTCCACCACGCATAAAAACCTATGTATCATTTTTATCAGACGTCAGTACGCTTATGCACCACGGGAGATAAACATGGGATATCCAGCCCATGTTTTTTACGTCACACTCCCCTCGAATTCGAACACTGGAACCTTTGAAAATAAAACTTCAGATTTTATTGTAAATTTTGCAAAACCTATCGAATTATCCAGGGAATGGGAAGTCGGTCTTTGTGAGATAATTTATCCTCACACGTGGTATAATCTTCCCAGCTCCGGGTGTTACTTTGAGCTCAGAAAATTCACGCAGCCTTATGGGAAAAACAAAGA